CGCAGCCTATCGTGGTATGAACAAAGCATCACCATCGTCGGTCTCTTTTTACCAATGCGGGGAAAATATTGTGCTAGTGCCTACGGCACGTGAGAAGAAAGCTTGAAGAATGGATTTTCATTCGTGAACTGCAAACTTCCAAAGACAAAACGCCATAAGCCGACCCATGTTATGGTAGCGAAGAACGTTTGTTCAAGATGGAACTCGTCACGCGACGAGACGAAAACGCGGACGAAAACAATGGCTAGACGAAACGGTGACGCATCGCAGTAGTGCCTTTAAATGCGTTGGGAGATCAATTTGTTCGTTAAGATAGCAGCTCAGGCGCACACTTCAACCGCACGATCCTTGGATTGACGAAATGAACGAATTGGCATTTACAGTGCACGATCGCCCTGTTACTCTTATTAGCCATCATCGATCCACTTGTATTGCTATCTGCTCATCATATTGTTGTCATCGAGTGTCCTGTTTTTCACAGTGCACGAAACATGTGCGAGGGTAAGATAGACAACCCTGTTAAAATGTCTCGGTATAAACAGGTTTTACATGAATTAACCCCATAAACGTCGCCAACTCCAGACTTATGCTAGGCCTTTAATCATATTCTGTAGCTGACCTCACATCGATTAACCGTGGATTCACCATGACGTATTAATTTAGCAGCTCGCCTGAAGAGCGCATGCCTGCCTGGATATGGCTTGTTTTGCGGCTTATTTGTTGTATTTTATTCGATTTCGAGAATGTAATCAAAAGTGAACGGCAGAATTTTGATTTAGATGTGCAGTTTCGGATGGTCTGCTATCGATAAATGGATGAACCAGGTATGCAATGGGCTAACATCTCTTCCAGCCATATCGACTGGATTCTTGTGAGGACTCTCGTGAGGATTGCGCCACTTCAAGCCAATTTTGTCGGCCATTGCAGAAGGATTTCTTGCCCTCGGCATGGAAAAAGTCAATACATATCCTAACCTTCTGTTCATAGCAGATCGCGCAATGATCCTATAAGTTATAAGCCAGTTAGTTTGACACCAGTTCCCAGTAAAGGTGTTGAGAGAATTATCGTTTATCGTCTGGTCATCAGTCACCTGACATTATTTCAGCTTTATGAAACACTCAGCTGCTGGGGCTGCATGACGTCGCCTGCCTCACCCTGGCAGGAGGGGCGGACATCGCGGAAATCCGCACCTCTAGTTTCCCAGACGCGCAGCTTAGCCACTGTGCTGTTGGTATCATCCGTCCACTTACTCCAGCAGCAACGATCGCGTACAGGACGATTGCACTGGGATTGCCTTATATACTGACGGAGGGCCAAGCTCTCCGGACTAATCCCGATATATCGCAGCTCAATGAGGGCTATAGTAGGCCCTCCTTTTTTGTAAGGGCTCTCGATATAGTCGTCAATTAACTACCCAGACAGAGACAACGTCTTAGAGCAGGTGGTAGGCTTAGCGCTCGATATGGCCTGTCGGCGACGCGAGTCTTATTGTTCAGCAGGCAGCAAGCCATTGGCCGTCGGCTCGACGAGGCAACTAGACAGGTGCTATGTCAACTGCGGGCTGTTAGTGTCAAGCCGCTATTGTCTGATCACGACTCCCCGCTCAAGGGCTGGAGCAGCCTGAGAGGCCTCCGTCCATGTAAATAGCGGCTCAGGTAAGCGCAGGGAGGGGTTGGCAGGGGTAAACCAGGAATGGACACGACAGAAATGTTCGTGGTGTTTGCTTGAATCTAGTGATATCATTTGGTGTGCGTTGTTATTTGCAAGATTGGTCCGGGTGCATCTCAACAAGCAGCGTTTTTATTCGTGCATGCGTTACTGAGACCTACCATTTGATATGCGACAGATAGCACCTAAGCCAACGACATTCCTGAGGTAACTCTTGGTTCGCGTTTGAATTGCTCTAGTTAGCCGCTATTGTTAGCCGTTTTCCATATTCTGAATACAATCCTTCAGTTATATTTGGCTGGTGAATGCCTTTTCAATGATGCGCAACGCCATACACTCATTACAAAACAACGTGCATGGGTCAGGATATCTATGGAGATGCAATCGACAACTTTCAGGTGGCATTTTTCAGACTCGGTCTAACATGGGTACGGAACAGAGAGCGAACCGTCGGGTACTGGACCGCCCGCTTGACACAGACACACTAAACCGAGCCGCAGAACAAGGGGTTTCCAAAATAAGCACATCGAGCACTGCAATAAGCACTGTTCACGTCATTTCAGAAATCATTCATGCTCCTTCGCATTATTTCACAGGATGACTCCCAATCAAAGTATGCGAGCATGATAACTGCAAGCGTAGTTTTGCATAGCATAGTTCTCCTGCTGCTTTTGTTGCTTTAGATCAACGAAGTAAACGACGGACTAAGGTGAATTAGAGAGCGCATAACGAGCACTTGCACATATATTTGTTTACGAGATGCGACTGCATAGAAGCACTAACGAAGGGATTTTATCCGTGATCTGAAACCTTCCGTAAACCAAAATGTCAGCAGCTTGCCCTTTTCAGGGTAGTCCAGAACACATGCTCGATATGGGCCTCAGGCACTACTTTTGTCTGTCCTTGATTGTTCTTGTATGTCATTTTACCATGATTCACGGCGTTATTGTAATACCATCTGTTCGCCACATTACTGTCGTCCAATGGCCTTCCTTTTTACAATGTACGAAAAGTTTGCGACGGTAAGATAGACCAAACTCTTAGAATGCCTCAGAGTAAAAAGGTCTTGCGCAAAGTGTCCCGTAAACATCCCACACTCTGGATTCTTATCATGCTTTGAGTCACGGCCGCTCAATCTATATATTATCACATAAATCAAGTTATTCAGTTATATTCTAAGGTTCACAATAGCATATAAATTTTAAAATCTACCTTATGGGAACAGGTCCTACCTTGAGTTTTTCGAATTATTTGTTGTATTTCCTTCGAGTTTGAGAACGCAGTCAAGCGTTTAGGGTATACGATTGGTTCATACCTTGCTCATTCATGAAGGAAAGCCAGCGTTCAATGCATGAGAGACGTTACGAACATCATCGACGTCCACATGCTTTTTCGTGTTTGTAGGTGTATCTCGTAGCATGCGAGAGGACTATAAATACTTCTGCTGCACACGTTAACACAGAAAGTTGAAAACCACCCTGTTCTCTCAATTAGGTCATAGGGCAGGTCATCCGTGATCAATCTGAGCGGAGCAACGACAGAGCGGCATTGTCTCTTATGAGGGATGAGTGGGAAAAACAACTACAGGTTTCGAAGTGTCTGGCACTGATATTCATTGGCAATATGTCAGACCGATGGAGATGAACAATATTCTAGATTAACATCGGTCAACCTGACCACGAAGGTGCAGAAAATCCCAGAGTTGCGGGCACGTCAGCACCTGGCACATTTGCAAGGTCTCAGGCTTGACCCTGCCATCGCCTTAGGGAGCTCAGGGCACGTTTTACGGAAGTTTTCTGTCATGTTTGTCGTTATCGCAAGCTTTTTGAAAAGGGGTCTCGTGGTAAATGGCGGTTTAACATAATAATAACCGCATTCAGATGAGTCGTACCCGTATACCATGCATGCTTCTAAGTACTGAGCAGATTATGTCGTGCCTGCCATGGCGACAAGCGCGGCGACATGCATTGTCCACCGTCCTGAATCTCTGTGTGGAGGGTTAGCTGAAACGTGCTCTGCACTGATCGTCGCCAGCTGAGCAGTTAGGACCGTCGTGTTACCAATCTCGTCGGACTCGGCGGAAAAACAGGGTCGGTGTTTTTAAGAGAGGGAAGGTATCGCCGCGATCCACTGAAACACTGAAAGGTCGGCACATTCAAAACGTGTGCAGTTTAAGGGTGCGTGCCGATGGATAACAGCTTACCCGATGACCAAGCGAGGGGCGTGACTCCTGTCCCTCCAACCAGGGGATTGGTCGTGGGTATGCGTTACCAGTGGGACGACGATGAGGAATTTCTGATATGCCTATACGTGGAGTCAATCTCTCACTGATTCGGGTTATTTCCCACTGATGATAGGATGGCGATAATGCGAACGCCAGAAATGAGCGTTCCAGTCTCCCGTGACATGCGACTGGAGTCCCTATCACTGCAGCTCACTTTTGAGAGCAGCTCCCACTACACGGGGCGCCATTCAGTCAAAGGGTGCTGAATGGGAGGTCCGCACACAACGTAAATAAACAGCTTGCAAGCTGGCATACGGAATGGAAACGCTATTAAGACGAGACATTCTTACGAAGCCAGTAGTGCACTGTATGTCATGCACACAGTTGCGTGTGCATGACACAGACACTGACACATGACACTGCCTGTCATGCACACAGTTCCTCCATGCTTGTACGACTACGTAATTGTGCGTAGTGGCATACGTTGTTTGGGAACTTACTGCGACATATCAGCTCCGCCCGCATATTTATAAGTTAAATCGTGAACACACAGCTTCTTCCAGGATCGTTCATGATTGCGTTAGGTTTGTAACACGAGAATCTGCTGCCGCATCGATTGCGGATTACCTCAAACGTACCGTACCCACTTGCCCGACCAATAACGCTGTCGAGGCGAGATAGAAAAGCCTCGCGTCCCGCCCCACACTTCCCCGAAATGCGATCCTCGTAACCCGGGCACGTACAGTGCAAACCGGTCCCGAAACTCGGGGTCCTGATCACGCGGTGACCGGCTGACCACACATGATCGCCAGCAGACGTGCAAACTAGCCACCACCGCGCCCACGGCGTCAGCCACGACCAGCCCAGGTCCAGCCGTCTCGCCCGCCGACCCCAAACACGTCTCCGTACGACACGCTTACAGTCGTGTTTGCGAGCACGCGCTCCGCGACTCATGACATCTCGCAGCAGCGCCGGGCGTGACATCCGGTGGGCCGGGGTCGGGTGCGGGACCGAGTTTGCACCTCTGCGCCGGGCGGGGGCCGCCGCGGGTTGGTGGGTCGACGCTATAAAGCCATCGCCGCCCGGCTGCCTGTCATTGGTTCACCGGAGTCGCTGCTTGAGACCGTCAGTTCTTCCCCGTGTCGCTCCGCTCCTGTTTGAATGTCCAGAAGGTTTATCTGGGCGCCGCGGCTTGAACTCGCGTAAGTACCCGATGGCTCACTTCAGTGGGGCAGGCATTCAGCCTTGCCACTCGGCTGGCCAGTCTAGCTGGTTTTGAAGCAGGATGGAATGTGTGTGTGTGTGTTACGAACGTTCATTGTCGTATAACGCTCACGGCGTACATGCTGTAAGGTATGGCTTATAATGGCATAGCCTTTCTCTTCGTTAAAGACCACCAAAAGTTCTGCTAGTCACCATTTCATTTCCCATATTGCTCAATCGCATACGATCACATAGCGGATGCCACATCGGCACATGGTGGCAGGTGGCATACGAGATGCTGCGTGCATCGCTCTGCCGGTCAGCTCGAGACCGGACTGAATGCGCGGCGTTTGGAGGGATAGCGATGCAAGTGCACCATTGTATCCGAATGAGTGGCGCTCTGCCCGTCACCGGTCCACAGCGAGTTTGGTGCTACCAAAGATGTGAACTGCCTAATGCGGTGCATTCGCTGCAGGCTCGGTAGCAGTCTTGCCAGCAGCAAGGGCAGCAGACAGGCGAACTGCGGCAATAAGCTGGAGCGGGAGGTGCTGACGCTGGTCCACCGAGTGCCCTGATAGGTGAGTGGCGCGGGAGTGCTGTGACTCCGAAAACCGCCGGCAGTGCTGCACACTTGCTTGACCGAGGTACGAGTGGTATTGTTCTTCTCGTACCCTCCTCTGCATCTGCTGTAATCTATGTCCATGCCGACCTGAGAGTGTGTCGAGGTATAGTCCAGCCATACTGAGAATGTCGTCCAGCACGCATGTATGATGCGAACTTCTCAACGGGCAGGATTACAGATGCATAGCTTTAGAAGACTCGAATGTTAGGTGTTTTGGTGTCCGAGGGCTGTCTCCACAATATCCACATCCAGAGGCAGCCCTGACCATTTCACCGAGTGCCCATTGCTTCACCTCACTGCCCCCGGCCCGAACGCTGCCGAAGACGAGCGCACGCCACTGGCCAGACCCGGCCTCCTTATCGCCTGTGACCTCCTCGCGTCACGTGTCGGCCTCCTCGTATCACGTGTTGTCCGGATGACGGCAGCGATCGTCCCCGCCAGACAACGGTCCTCTGACGTCACAGACGACACCCTGACGTCAGCGGTCGCATCCAGCGGCCCTTGTGCCGGGGCAGATGACGGGATGGTGCCCTGAATGACCTTCACTGGAGCGCGCGTCGCCCAGCGTCGGATGGGAGTGTAATGCTGTACTTGACAGCTCGGTCGAGTTGTGCTCCGGTACACGTTACGGATGTCTTTGAACCATTTGAGCCACTCATGGAAGGGCAAGCTTAACAGGATATCTTCGTGACACGATAGTACTAAAACACATTTCTATTCGTTGGATGCAGGAAATTAACTTTTGGCGCTTTAATCTATAGTTGCACGGCATTGCGTCATAGACTGCAGACATCACGCCTACTGCTGCGCATGTTGGAACACAATTTCGGGCCTAATCCGCCACCATAGGACTTGATCTTCCCGCTTATGGAACTACCTCAGTTTTTATACAAAAAAACTCCAATCCGTTTAGGTCACGCAGGAGACGCTTCCTGCCTCAGAAAAGTCTGTGGTGATCAGAATGCTCCTAAGCCTCTCTGTTGCAATAGACATTATCAGGAACTACGAGTCCTGCAACCAATAGAGAAACGCGGAAGCACATGCCGAACACTTCCAAACGTGCCAGCTGTATGCCCTCCACCAGCGATTTGGCCGACCGCCAAGGCATTCGAGGTCGTCGCGTGCCCAGGCATGACACGTATAAGGCAGACGGGCCTCCCAACATCCCCCCCCCCCTCCCCACACTGAGCAGACGGGGGGCGACGGCTAGACGGCGACGGAAGCTTCGAGTCGCCCTACTTTGAGTGACGCGACCCGGCGGGGCCGCCGCCAACTTTCGCAGACGATGGGTGAGGAACTTACCGTCCGTTGGCACATATTTTCCCCGAAATTTGTCGGCGGGCAGTTTATTGCGTGCTAATTTTAGTGGCGAGACCGTCGACCCTGTCCGTAGTCAACTTGCGCGGCGGGAGAGTAATCTGCCGGCGAGCCTGACGACCGCGTCGCGTTCGCAGGAAGGTCGACAGCTAGCGGAGCGAACCTCTTCCCGCCGGTCGGACCCTCCTTGATCGAGGGCGGCACAGCGCAAGATCGAGTCAGCGAGTCGGCGAGTCGGTTAGCCAGCATGGGACACAGCGTGGGCCCTAAGTTCGCGGCGACGAGCAGCCAGAGCTTCGAGGCGAAGCCTGTCAAGTGAGTATTGCGGGGGTTCTGGCATCGCCTGTGTTTAAGGCACTGGACGCAATCAAGAATCGACCGTTCGCTCCGCGTGTAGGAAAGTTACGGGATCTCCCCAGATTGGTATTGCGGAGTTTCTTTGCTAGGTGTTGGCTTTCCACGCTGTAAGAATTTTGCAAGCTTTTGACTTTGATGTCGAGATAGGATGTTTACCTCCAAAGATTCCGGGAAGTAAAAGCGTCAACCTGATGTTATAGCACCAGAGGCAGTGGTGTTTGAATGAGCGCGTCTGACCCAAAAATGCAAATTTGGTAATTGCAAAGCCATTCTAAAGCTGCTTGGGTTAATGATGCAGGCTACAATAAGAAATGTCGCCATTTGCGAAAACAAACAAGGGCATGATTTTGGTTGATTGAGTTTTTAGACGCATTGATTGTCCGATGCTTATCGGAAAAATGTCACGTGCATGACTATTTGCGCCAAAGTGAACACTTGTCTTCAAGACAGACACCGTTTAGTGCCATGACATGCTGTTCAAAGCCGATAATAATTGTTTTAGGCGTAGAGGCGATACTTTCCGAGCAAACTCTACAGCAGACGAGAACATATTTGCCTCTCCGACATTCAGCTTGCACTGGTATTTCGTAGGTTTCAAAGCCCCAATTCTATTCAGACACAACCCAGCGACAACGGCTAGCTGAAGCCGGCCGGTGGCTCCGGCCGCCATGCCTCCGACGTAGTCTTGATGTAACCCGCGACGCTCGTTCGGCAGGAAGCCGGCGTTTACCGCCGCTCCGGTCAAGGGCCAGCAGGCGTCGGCCGCGGCCAAGCCGAAGGACAACGGCCCCTGGGGACCGCTGTTCAAGAACAAGGAGAACTTCAAGAGCATGCACATGTTCTAAGGAGGGCCGCGAGGCGCGCCGGAGCGTCGAGGACCGCTGCCGTGAGGACTGGTGCTCAGTGTCGCGCGGCTCAGCGCTCCGGCGGCGGCCGGCAGGAAGCAGCACTGGCCCGGTGACAGCTATCGGTGACGGCCGGTGACGGGGCGCAGTGACGTGTTGGACAGCCGTCGGTGACTGGTTCGCGGCGAGTGACCCTGGCAAATGTATCGTCTGATCGCCAGAAGATAGGCAACGGCGTGGGTGTGGCGAAGCGTCTTGCATCAAGACGGCTTGTCCATTTATTGGTGGCTTTAAATAAAGGCAAATTTATTTTGTGAGTTTGTTGATGTGAGAGCTCGGATTTTGCCGCTCTGAAAGTGAGATGATCATCATGAAATCGCCGACCGACGAATACGTTCATTTGAACTGAGGGCAATATAAATCGCGAATATCCACGGTTAGCATTTCCTTGGACGGAACCATCAGCTGAGTGCAGAGCATTGTTTGCCCTCGGGACTTAGTACGGAGGGTTCCGCCGTAAAGATATAGATAATGTACATGATGAATATTTAATGGATATAATAAATAGTAACTGCTAAATCAGTTTCTGCGGGGGGGATGCAATAGGGATGTATAGTAACTGCGGGGGGAGGATGCAATAAGGGTCTTAGGAGGAATTGCAGGAAGTCAAATCTTACGCGTCAGAGAAGATCCAAGCACACGCAGGCACGGCTGGGGGGGCGATGTTGCCACACGCACTGGACAGAAATGATTGCGACAGGATACAAGAACGAGGCCAGAGCTCAATTTGCTCACATCTGATGTTTAGGCAAGAGCCAGATAACGACTTCCGTCATATGATTTGATTTGTTTTGCCCGACTGCACTCACTCCGCGGACGCTTCCTTGGGCCAACCATCCGCTTGTGTAACCCGCTCCGAATCAGGGCCAGCGTAGCTTGGTCATGTCGATCAACCAGATCAGAATAACGCTTGTTTACGGGTCACCAAAGTAAATTTATAAATCTGAATCCGACCGAGTTGTTTTGTTTTGATCGGCGGGCGGGGTATGCGTCATGATTCGATCCAGTTTCAGGTTGAGGGGAGGTGATAACCGTAATGCGCTTTATGCTGGTAAACCATTCGTGGCTGCATGCATTACGGCACCATCCATGATGAACACATTGAGCGAAGCCCACGACACATACATATGAACTAACATGAAGCAACATAGCTCACAACAGAGCCGATGCCGCTTCATGCACGAGGGGCGTCAGAGCGCTCCAAGAAACGTCATGATTTAGAATTTCCATGCAGCCTTGTGACGCACCTGCAGTTCTTACTCCAGCAGGATGCTGAAACAAGCCCAACACCACTGCGGGCTTCCCCGCCAGTGGATCGCCCCCCCCCCCCCCCCCCCCGCCTCACCTTTCGATTCCTGTCGATTTCAGCCTGGGTTATCAAACGGTCAACCTAGAGGTCCATTGTGGTGGTAAGGCAAATTTTCATGGACAAAGGACGGGGTATCGCCGCATATGTGCTCTCTTGGTTTATGGACCGATGCTGGAAGACGTTGTGCGATCACAGACGACAGTAATTATAATTCATGCCATATGAGTGCGACATGATTTTTACAACAAGCCGGTCAGTTGGAATTAGGCAGAGCCTATGCGGGCTAGACGATGGACGCAGATTCATCTCATGCTATTTTGTCACCTGCTTTATTGCATTCCCGCAGCACTGGGATGTCTTACGAACATATGAATATGTCTTACACAAAAACGAGAGCTGAAAGGAGCCAGCTCTCTCGGCGACCGAAGAAGTGCCGTTTAAGCCGTAATTCCTTTGCTTTCCTACGCATGTCCTACGCCCTTTCACATACGAAAATCATCATAGATTCCTGAAACTCCAGGATCCAGGACTCACGAATCTTACGGATTTCTAGGTCCACGCACAAGTTTGCGGTCTACATTATCAACATTCTTATGGCTGAGACAAACGAGGCCACGTCTTGTTCGCCCAAACGTCCACGGCTTTACATCAGTGCGACTAAATTACAACATAAAACACCTGAAAACCAATAGATTTTAAGCTTGTTTC